CTTACCGAATGTGGACCACGTAGATCTATTCTTTTAATTCCAGCGTATATAATGATTCGAGGAGGAAATCCAAACACTTATATGCCAAAGAGGTCGTAAATGTTAATCTTTTATGATGAAAATTTTGTTCATGACAGCAATTTGACATAAAAACTAAGTGGACTAAATATGAACCACATGGGCCTATTTCTTGGGTCTTCATGAATAGTAAGAACTGCTTTATGATTTAAGTTGGTCCTTAATGACAAAATAACCAAAAAAATTAACGATAGGAAATTTGGATCACATACGTTTATTCTTAAGACCGTATCATATAACGGGTTATCATGAAAAGCACGCCCTTTTATGGATAGAAAATATAGTTTCTACTTTTCTCCGGCGGAAACTGAAAAACAAAAAAAATCTTTGCAAAGTCGCTGAATTTGGATCACGTCACATAAAGTTTTTGGCATCCTTCAATGTGTGGGCCTTCGTGAAAACTGTAAAATTTCGAGAAAATAATCGTTTGATCGTTTTACAAAAACAACCGAATAATTGTACTATGGAAATTGGTGTAGAGTATTTAATAGCCGGCATTGTCCGAATGGTTTTCATTTTAATTTTCATCTACCTTCCGAAAAGAAATAAATGGGAAAAATACAATCGCCGCTTTGCTACAAGTTCATGGGAACTCGTTTTTTTTGCTTAAGATTCTTATCATACACAACAAACTAAATCAAAGTTTAAAAGGTTTTCTTTTTTTTTTTGCACGGTCTTCTTTCTTGTACTTTTCCGCCCCGCACATTAAAATGCCTTACAAAACGAGCATTTTTCGCGTTGTCGTGCTAATAAAGTGCTTTTAAAGCCCATCTTAGAGCAATTAGTTTTTCTTTTTCTGTTTTTTACGGTCCTTTCAAAGGCGCTTTTTTTACGCGAAATTTGTTTACCTATTTTGAGGAAGGCACTAAACTTTTTCTTATAGATATATATTCTTTACTCAAAAACTTTGACATAAGTCTATTTTCCTGTTTCCATTTTTTGCTCTTCTTCTAAGCGATGTTCTCCTACATAAGTTATCTTTTGCGCAGTAGATGACGTCGTTTTGTCGTCGTGGAATAAATTAAATGGGATTGGGTATTTTTTCTTCACTTTTCGTATACTATGTCACTTGTAATACTTGTGTGTTGGTGCGAATGTATGCAACACCCAAAAGGACTTCAAACAGATCCATCTTTCATTATCGATCAAAAACCGCTGTTTGAATCGTTATAAGCTCGTCGGTCCCGTCCGTTTCATTTTTTGTCTACAAGTTGCAATATATGAGGTATCTCGATTAAATTTAGTACCCTGACATGTTTTGGCCCAAGGACGAAAGCTGTCGAAATTGTTTCGGGTCGGACCTCTTTTTCGACTGCTTTGCATATAACATTTTATTTTGATAAGTCGTTATACGAATAACTGAATTAAGGGAAGACGTGCAGGGTACTTAATGTTGGGCTGTGGCCTACTATAGTGTTTTTCTTTGTTCTTATGTAAGTTTCATTTTGTGCCGTAAATTAAATTACGTCGTTAAATAGATTTCGTCTATTCAATGCTTTCAGGATCCTGCTCGTGCTAATAAAAGAATATTTTTTCAAAATTCATCTTGAAAAGTTTTAAACTATTTTTTAAAGCCAAATCTTTTTCAGCTCAATTTTCTCTTTGCGCGGCTTTTTGCTTAAGCAGCAAGGAGGAAGCTCGTGAAAAGAAAGGGGTCCTCGGAAATGTTAATTCCAATGTTAAATTAATGATAGCGATGTACTGAGATTATTTGTAGTTTCTTCAGTTTTTATCTTTTTAGGTCATATTTTTTCATTTTCTTCTTAAGCAGCTAACCAGCAGTCTTTTTAGCGATATATTCGTCAAACACAGAGTATGTGTAATATCAAGTTAGGTTATAATGGAACGACTTGGCAAAATGACAAAAGTATTTTCTAAAATACGTTATTATAGCAAACATACATTATGAGGAAATCTGACAAGGACGGGTGGACGGATTGTAACTTGTATACGTACACAATTAACTGGTTAAGTTGAATCGGACTTAAGAGTATTAAATTTAAAACTTTCATTTCGATTTGGTTTTTTCGAGAATTTCAACGATAAACGGTCGAAAAAAGGATCGCCTTAGGAATTCATAATAATTAAAAATACTATTGTTTAGAATATTTACATAATATAGTATTTAGTTCAATATGGATTCCTTAATATCTACTTCTGGATATGATAAACTAGTTTATGATCGCAGCTATACATGGTGAGTATAACAGTTAGGTTAGGAAACCCCCACAGAAGATATTTTAATATAATTTTTTTTTTTTTTTTTTTAATTATTTGCTACAGAACCATAATGTCAGCTCACTTTTAGTTTTAGGCTTTTAACCTCTAAAGCTAAATAGAATATTAAAAAAAATAAAAAATAAAAAAAATTATAATAATAATAATAAAAGTAAAAAAGAAAAAAAAAAATATACATATATGTTTTCATCGCTAACAATTTACCTTATGAAACAATGTGCAAAATATATGAATTTTTGTTTTATTCATTTTAAAACATTTCATTATTCATTGTTCGTGTGTAATGCTTCTAAGGAAGTTTATAGGTATCTACGTAGCTCTTGGTTTACAAAAATATTTTGTTTTACTCTTACACAAATTTTTTTTTCCTTTTTTTCTTTTTTTTACTTTTCATAAAATTTGATCTACCTGTCTATCGTATATGTTAATTATTAGTGATTTTGCTAAAAGAAAAATTTAAAATAATAAGGAAAAATGATTTGAAGAAAGTTTTTTTCCTACTATTATCTAATTAATTAATTATTATTGCTTTTCATGTTCTTAAAAAACTTATTATAAGTTGTCTGTTGATTTAATTTTCTTCTCATTGAACCAAAGGCATAACAGCGTAAGTTGAAGTGATTCCAAAAGTTTTTTGCGATTTTTTTCAATACGAAATCTTTTTTATTAAACTCTATAATGTAACGAATCTGAAACTGTAACTTGGAGTTGGAAATTCTTTAAATATATTTTAAAAAGAATTTACTTGAGAACTTGTATAATTTTATTGGTTAAAGCAGGGCGATAGCAGGCGATTGGCTGGTTGACTCTACAACTTTTTGTATTTTTTTTCATTTCTTATTTGCTACGATTAACTCGAAGAGGATTATAAAACCAAAAAGAGTTAGAGTAGTAATTTTCACCCTTTAAGACTTATACTGTTATGCCTTTTGTTTGCAAATATTAATATTTTTAAGTTATCTATAACACGTTTGATTTAGAGATTTTTCTCTGCATTTCTTTAAGGTACATGGTTGTGATATTCTTACTAACGCGTTACTATAATTATTATTGCGCTTTGATGATGATGACATATGACCAGCTCTAGTTGTAAAATCTTTAAAGTATCAGGTTGTATAGCATATAATAGATCTGTGTGTGCCTAAACCCTTTATTATAATTCTAGTTTATAAGTATCAGCCATGGAGAGAAATGTTAACCGTAAACAAATGTGAAAGCCTTTGCCATAAATCTTCATCTTAAACTTTAAAACTTCGTTTCAAATGTCTACTGCGATAAGAAAGAACATAAGAACATTTTACCAGGAAAGGTGTATAGAAAGGGGACGTAATCAGCCTCAAAACAATAATTATTAATATTTCTATTTTTTTTTTTTTTTTTTTTTTTTTTGGAAACGAAGTCACAAGGAATGCTTTAAGAAATTTTTGCTAGATTTGAATTTAATTTTTTAAGCTCTACATCACTTGTAGTACAAGGGTGTATTAAATTTGTGCCGATTTATGCAGCACCCAGAAGGACCTGAGATAAACCCATATTTTATTATACCGATCAATTTAGGAAATGATTTTAAGTTTGGCTGTCCGCCCATGCCTCTTGTTGTCAACCTACATATTGGCGGCCCAGTAATTATGAGCAACTTTTCTCTCATATGTAGAAGTCTATTAAAGGCATTTGACTGTAATGCCATTGACCTTCAAAAGCAAGTACATAAACTTGATCCTGTGTTACTATGTCAATAATTAGGTATTTTATCTTAAGGGCAAAAGACCAACACCTGAATTATTCCAAAAGAAGGACCTCACAAGCTAAAAACACGAAGTGATAAAAAGAATGCAGAGAATTAGATTTGAAAATAAATAAAATTAATAATTAGCGACAAACAATCTTTATAGCAGGGCAAAAATAGTGCCTATAAAGGATAATAAGATAATTTTATCCATTAAAAGGTATATTCTTAATTTTGAATTCAAGAGAATCAGCAGATTTTAAACAGTCCCGAGCTATTTTTGATTTGAATTCTAACTAACGAAGAATTACTAAAAGTAATCCAATAAAAAATAGTGTTCAAAATATCGAAACAACAATTAGATCAAAAGGTTTAGAAAGTTATATTCAAATCAAGTCGTGTTTGGCAAAAGATTTGGTAAAGTATTTTTCAGGGACTGTGTTACACTGGGACGTAATTGGCAGGATATTAATACAAGAATGTAAAATTACATCAAATTTATGATTACTACAGCAAGGCAAGGATAACAAATTGGTTATCTTTTTAAGTTTCTCTCCTTAGCTTTTTTCAATTAAAACTAACCTGAATTTATCGTAAGTTTGCTTATCATTATTCTATCTTAATGATTAGTTTCTTTAATAATAATCAACACATTCGTTTATACGTATATAATTTTTGCTAACAATACCTAACCTCAATTTTCTTCCTTTTTTTTTTCTCTCTCACTTTTTATATTTTTTCCCACCAGCATTTCGTAATGCTCTTTACTCCTTTCCTTAGTAATTTATATTATTGTACTTTTTTTTGTTAATAACTGCAAAAAAAAGACGAATTTTCCTAAGGGTTAAAAAGTGCATTAGTCAATAAATTTGTTGTTAACAAATGAAATGTTAACTTATGTTTTTTTTTTTTTTTTATATATATTTCTTCTCGAGCTAAAACAAATAAAAAAAAAACACTTAATAATCTTAAATTTCATTTAAAAATGTTCATTGTTGTTGTTATTATTATTATTATTATTATTGTTTTACAAACTAAACGACTAACTATCACACTCCAATTTTGTTGTTGTTGTTAAAAAGTATTTGCTTTTTAATTTTATGCTTTGTTCGCTATGCTTAAGTATTGCTTTTATCCCCTTTTTCCATTATGCTTTTCTTATTCTTTCTATTTTTTCTTTCCCCCTAATGCTTACCCTTATTTCATTTCTGTACATATTTACCGTTGACGATATTAACGACATTATCCAAATTTTCATTTGTTATTACTATTGGTTGCTATTGATGACTTTTACTTAGCAGATGCGAATTGAATTCATAAACATTATTGCACTGCTCACCGCATATATTGCATTTCCAGGGATTGCTTTCGCAATGGCAACCCTTATGCAAAAAATATAAAGTTTCATCGGGAAATTCAATGCCGCAAAAGAGGCATGTCAGTATTTGTTTACGATTTAGAGAGCCCGTCTCTCCTTCTTGGCCGGTTGAAGTAATAGTGCCATTACAAATCGGTGTCGATGTCGAAGTGGCACTCATCGCTGCTCCATTCGCTGGTGTTAACGAACTCTGTATGACATTATTATTCTCTAAAGCTGCATTCGCGTTGCGGGTTATCCGATTATTAGCTTTAGCGCAAATACGCCGTTTAAGGTCTTCTCTTAGCAAAGATTTCAAAGGTGAAACCTAAGATGAAAGGGTTTTCTTAGACTTCTCATCTAAATTTTAAAGATCTTTACCTTAATTAGCGATGTTAACCGAGAATTTGGCGTCGAGAATTCTGATTCGCTGCTGTCGCCACCGTTCATGGACTCACCGCATGAATTGGTTTTTGTTAAACTTCGCATTGTTTCGCTACTCATGTCTTCACTGGGCGGTTCCTGCTGAAATTGAAAGGGGACTTTAGTGCTTAACATTAAGGAGAAAAAATCCAAAGGCAACGTCATGTGTGTGTATTTAATTTAGACTCCTCTAACCCGTTCACATAAATCGAATCATGGTTTAACATGCTTGCCACTTAAACCGATCTTTTAACAACGCCTATTGATAATTGATAATTTTCCTTTTATTTTGCGGATCTGTATTGCGATTAGTAATACTACCTATAATTTTCTTATATAATTTCGTCAGCATTTTTAACCCATATTTACATGAGGCTTCCTTCTTAATAGGTATCTTTGCAAGACTTTTTCTAATAGCTGTCTATCGATTGAAAGCGAAACTACTAGGTGCATTTGTGTGCGTGTCTATTTTCTGATATATACTTGCCTGTTTAATTGGTATTAGACTAATGGAGGGTGTTATGTGATTTTCATGGTGATGGGTTTTTGGCGATATTGTTGAACTCATGGCGCCACAGACGGTTCCATTACTGGTACTTGAAGGCAATGATTTGGCATTACAATCTAATGGATGCTCTTGAGGGGCTACAGTCATAGTTAACGGTACTGGCGATTGCATTACAGTATCACGTTCCTTGGTGACATCCAATGCCATAGTTGGTGTACTGCTACCATTCATATTGTTATGATTGGTGTTGTTGTGGTTGTTGTTAGTATGACCCTGCAAAGCAAAGGCACGCAAAACGCATAAGAGCACATTGTCAACGGTCGTACGAGAACGAGAGAAGGATGAACAGGACAATGAGTTAACAACAGAAACAAGAGAATCGCTAAAATTGGAATTATGCGTTACATTGAACATGGCGTTGTCCGACATGCCATTGTCGGGCAGTGTAGAGATCTCCACATGTGGCGTAAGGAAGTGCATAGGCGGTGTCGCATTCTCAACCGATCGTAACGATTCCCCACTATCGCTTTGATTAGGCATATTACTAGCAGCCGATACAATAGCAGCACCTGGATTGGCAGCGGCAGCAGCAGCGGCGGCCGCAACAGCGTTTAGACCAGCTGGTACAAAACCTGCAGCAGCCGCGGCTGCAGCCACCTGCGATGCCTGTGACTCTAAGGCAAGCAATAAAGTAGATGAGCCAGCCGGTCCAGGATTATCCAAATCAATACCATGTCTAAAATTTTGTAAAAAAAAAAAAAAAAAAAAAATTAAAAATCATATATGATTTTCGAAAAGTTGCTTTATACCTATTGAAAAAATGTATTCGCAGAGATTTCATTGAGCCTGCTCGATAACTACATAATGGGCAAGTTTTAACGAGATCATGCTGTCCCACATGTTCATTTTGAAAATGGGCACGCATTGCAATTTGTCGTTGAAAACCACGATTACATATCGGACAATGATACGGTAATGTCTTGGTGTGCGTAGTGAAATGCTCAGCCAAGTGGTCTTTGCGAAAGAATCTGAAATTTTCAAAACAGACAAAACAAAATGAAATGAATGTTAACGAGCTTAACAATGGATAAAGAGAAAGTTGAAAAAAATCACCTCTTTTGGCAGACACGGCATTCGTAAGGCTTTACACCAGTATGACGCATTTTGTGTCGTCTCATGTTCGCGCCATTCGAAAACTTCATATTGCAAACGTCGCATTCAAATACTTTACGGGAGCCGCTCGACGATGAAGAGGAAGTTGCCGCCGAACTATTGGCACTACCGTTCGCCACAGCCGTTACTACGCCCGTTGGCGGTGTAACGGTAACCAAATTCTGACGTGCCTCCATCGGCGAAACGGTTGTAGCTGGCGTTTGTAAGTTTTCAGGTTCGTTATCTTCTGCCTTAAGTCGCGGGGCATTTGACAAACATTGTACAACATGAAGAAGTAAAGATGCTCGTGATGTCGTCTCGAAATTCTCACATCGTTCACAACGGAATGTGGTAACAGATGGCGTTGTCGACCCTGTTGTCGATAAATTTGTTGGCGATATACTTATATTGGCGGTTACCGGCGTAGGTGTAAGCGTCTTTTCTCGCCCCCCGCTATCCGTTGGCGAATGTTCCTCGGCCGAACAATGATCCACTTTAAGACTACGCAAAGCCTGAGCATGAGAGGCTAAAGTGTTATGATGCAATATACTGGCGGTCGGTGACATGTCTACGATCAATCCATTATCCTTTAAGGACATTTCCAAGCTACCGGCTGAGCTCATAGTATCGGTCATATTGCTAAAATTATTAAAGAAAAAAAAAACAAAAAAAACAATAAAAACTAAAAGAAACGCAATTAAATCCATAGACAAGTTAAACAAAAGAAGAAAAAAAAAACTGAAAGCGATTCTGTAGATTGTGAAAAAAGCTGACAACTGCAACAACAACAGCAAAACGACGGCAACAAATTCTCTTTTTTTAGTAACCTGAATGCCAAACCATTGATTCTGCAATAACTAGCTGCCAAAGCAATGGTTGCGTTCTGATTACGGCCATCATCCATATGCGCACTTGGGCAATATAAATAAACACACACACATATTAACAAGTGCGCGCTCGCGCGCAGAGTCAAGCATACATAAATGGTCTCAATTTTCAGTTCACTCTATATTTTCATTGGATTTCTTAAAATGAAAAAGCAAAGCATTCAACGGCTTAAGTAAAGAGACATACGTTTTTACAGTGACACTTAAACATAGACAGGGGGAGGGGGGAAAAAAAAACTCTATGAACTACACGCATGCTTGATTTAGTTAGCATTTGGCTAATAGATCTGCTTACGTTAACTTAAGACTCCATCAATCTATCCTAAAGCCATAAACTAGTTTGTTTTTGTATTTCTTAACACTTTGCCTGTGCGCATAGGTATGCATATATAGGTATGCGTGTGTTTGTGCACTTGTCTAACCAAATGTTATGGCAAAGTTGAATGAAGTAACTTGTTGGTTAGTCAGTCAATGTGACTGGCATATATATATATATATATATATATGTGCAACAACAACGACAATAACACAAACACTAACTGACTGGTAGGCATACTTTTCTATGGGTTTAAAGAATTTCAGTTTTTCATCTAATGTGTTATTTTTTTTCTTTTTTTGGCATTAGACGATTTTTTTTTTTTTTTTTTTTGGTTTTTCGTCGCCAACGTAGCCAAATGAGTGAAGCGCACTTGTACTGTGGTTTTCCAAAAATCATTATTAATAGTCTGTTGCGAAATTTAACGTGTTTTGCAAAACTTTTAAAGCAACGCAAAAAAATGCTATTTAAGCAAACTTTAGATCACCAGCGACTTGAGGCCATCACTTAAGGCGAATGATGAATGATCTTATGTTGGGCAAGCGCCAAGAAAATTAAAGCTTACTTTGCATTCTGTAAAAAAAAAAAATAAATCAAGAATAAATACCGGGAATGATTGCTTAGTTAATCATTAAATTCGTGTCATCTGCCTTATAACGGAACCGACTTGAAACTTACGTCTAATTACCGAACCACGTTTTGGCAGCACTAGCTTTGCGTTTCTTCCGCCAATTTTTTCTTCTTCACCCTTTCAAGCTTAATTGGTGTAATTGGTTAACTCTTGTTCTCTTATTTCTGAGTTCATGGACATCGAGGAGGACATGCCATGCATACGTCGGCCGGCGTCCACCATTTTTAATTTAAAAAGGAAAAATCCAAAAAATAAAACAAAAAAAATGCAGGATGCGCTTTACTAATTTTTCCCATTTTTGTGCAGTTGTGGTAAAGCAAATTTTAAAAAAGAAATCTTCTGAGTTCTGAGTAACATTGGATGCAGTCTTTAAAGCATTCAGTCCATTTTTACTACCGTCGTGTCTGGAAGGACTTCCAAATATTTAGCGAAATTTATAGCCGATGTATTCAGTTTAACGACCAGCGGAATACTTAGCACATACATTATATAGATGAACACACGGACAGATGGACGCACTCAAATTAATAGAGATTTTGACATTAAATGTGAAAAATATACTTTATGAAGCTTGCTTCGAGATCTAGTATATGTCTCTCATCTGTGGTGATGGAAGTAAAAATTATAAGAACGACTGACGATTTTGAAGCTAACTTAACGAGACTGATGGGGAAAGAGTTGAGTTCAAGTATTTCCTATTAAATGAAAGTTCAGAATGAAGACTGTGATTTCAGCAAACGGACGTAAAGAGTACACTGATGTCACTATATATTTTATAATGTTTCCGAAGCCTATTTCCAATGTAGACACAGATGTGTCCATAATAAATGAATCTTTTCGAATTTGTTGCAGAAAGAAGTGAGGAAAGCGAAAAAGATTGTGAAGCGGTAGCCACAACGTAGTGTGTGTCTGACTAATCGGCAGGTGTTATGCCTTGACCGACGAACCACTCTCTATAGCTGCGACGAAAGCAAGCTCTAATACATTTGAGATCTGAACTCACGAACACTAATTTGGATAATCGCGATTCTTGCCTATTCGGCTACTCACGTGTGGAAATTAAGTTCATTGATAAAGAGAATTTGCCCCACGATTCCCTCTCTCTCGTTCGCTCTAAGAAACTCTAGTTTTTAACTCTATAGTGGACACAGTTTTAGTCAGAAGGCAGGAGTACAGAATTCTACGCTTAATTTATAGAAGAAAAGCAAACAAAAGTCTTCCTTACGTACAGCGTTTATTTTAAAGAGAAATTCGAAAGAGAACGAAATTTTCATTCTATGATATTGATTGGGCATGGTGGCTTGTTTCAATTTTTATTAAGGTATGTTAGGATTACCCGTAAAGGACATAGCCAAATTATTGTCGTTGCATCTGCTGCAGATTATACGCATAACATAGGGAAACAGCAAAATTTAAGAAGCATTCTTAGATTACGGTCTATTGCTGATGTGGCCTTGGACCGATGTGCTCTATTTTCAACACCAGCCTACTTGCAATAAACAGCAGAAGTTGCTGTCATCGAGGCGCTATCAATTTATAATCATAACGGTGTTCGGAAAAGTCGAAATGTAAGTTGAAAGATTTCTAGACGCTTCGTATCAAGAAATTTATATATTTACAGGATGCACTCTATTATTCTGTCTTGTCCTTGTGGAAATGGTTGGATGATTACAATCACCATTTTTCTTAATTGCAAGTTGTTTATGTGAAGCGTTGACCAACTTGGACGACAACGCTCTTCGGAATCGTTTTAAGCTTATTTGTCCGTCTGTCTGTTCGATGTGTCCCTCTATGTGTTTTGATGTGCAAGTCATACACACCGCATCCGCATTATTTATTTTCATTTATTTACTTATTTATTTACTTGCACATGCTACTCAGCTAAAATAAATTAAGAGCCGAATTCAATTGATTTTTAGACGGAAATCTTACACTAATTACTATTAAATGCTAACACAACGTATATAAAGAGAAAAAAAGAAAAGAAAAAATTAAATAATAATTCATGGATAAATGAATAAGAGAGAAGAAAAAAGAGCATGTACACAACCAGCGTAGAGGCACATCCGCTAGCGGTCCAAGATTCAAGTTGCAAGGGAACCCCTAAGCCATTGCAAACATGCAATAGCTTGGCAACCGGCAACAGTACACAAGACCAGTTAATTTTCGAATCGTAGTGAGATGTTAAGATTGTAAGTTAGTTTAAGTGCAACATAGGCAAACGGCGCATATTAAGCATTATTGTTTTGGTAGACGTTAAAGAGTCCGATATTGAGATAGACATCATTTAGGTTTCTGCAAACAACTCTGAACTTGACTAAGCTTAATGAGGGCGAAGTGCCTAGAGAAGCGATTGGGCACATTAAGGTTTATTGCACCAATTAATGTGGCCGAATCGTTAATATCATTTATTAACTTAATTACCAAGAAAATACCAAGAATAGAGCTACTTGTCTCAAGTGATTGTAAGAATAACAGCAGGCAGGGACACAAATTCCTAAGGGCAAACAGCAAGAATTTATTTTGAACGAATCCAATTGAATCTACATAGCAGCGTATAGGAAGAAGACAACCCAACAGAGGCGTACTCAAGTACTGGTCTAACTAAGCACATGTGTAACCCTTTTGTGTGTTCGGACCACCCCTTAATGAAACCGAGTGCGGACTTAGCTTTACCTAAAGAGAGCTCAATACACAAATTAAAACGTAATCTTTCGTCGAATAGAACCCCTAAACCGATGAACGAATCTGCGTTTTTCAATTTGTGTGAATCGATGAAATGCTTAGTATTGAATAACTCCTTTCTTAAGAAAGCAAGCTTCTTGCATTTTGTTAGATTTAATATCATAAAGTTTAACGAGTACTATGTAACCTAATTATTTCAGCTGATACGATTGCGATTCCAAGAAGTAGGAAGAAAACAGTTCAACATCGTTAGCGTACATTAAGTTTTGGTTGGATTTAATCACTGAGCGCAGATGGCTAAATAAAAGGGATCGCAAGTGGCTGCCTTGAAGGATACTAGACGTCATGGGAAACTCATCCGAGGCTATGAACCTTGAACTATCTGTTATGAAGATCAGAACTTGTCCATTTCATTAAGTACAAAGGGACGTCAGAAGCCTGGAGTTTTGAATACCAATAAGTTATGGTTAACTAAGGCAAACGGTTTACTAAAAGCAACTACATACGACATCCGTGCGAGAGCCACTAGACAAACCCTTGAAAACATAGTAAGTAAATTCTAAAATATCCGTAACAGTTCATCTTCCTTTCAAAAAGCCATTCTGGAATGGAGAAATATAAGATTTGATAGCAAAGTGTAAATGCTGAGAGTAACAATTCGGTCAAAAAATTTAGATAAGACGCTGAGCTCGGGAATGCCTCTAAAGTTCTCGACGTGATGCCTGCTTCCACATTTGTGAAGCGGTTTAAGGAAACCAGTCTTACAACACAAACGGAAAACATCTGATTTCAAGGACAGATTAAAAATCTTTGAAATAAGATCACATAGCTCGTCAGAGCATGATTTGAGTATACATGATGGAATGCCACCAGGCCCCGGCGCATAACAATATTTTAGAGACCTCAAACCATGTAAAACGTCGCTTTGACCAGGTTAGGAAGTGACCAAGTTAGGAGTCGAAACCGAGCTAGTGATCAGATACATATAGTTAACAGTTGAATCGGTATCAGCAGTTGAAAAATTTCATCGGAATTCTTCAGCAAATAAATTTGAAGTTTCCATATCACGAGAGGACTCAGAGCCATTGAAAGAAACCTGCGAGGAATATATGGACATTTT